AAAAAAAAAAAAAAATAATGATTAAAGTATAAAAAGTAAAAAAATTGGGCTAGAAATCTTCCATACAAAAAAATAAGCAAGTAAATGAGACACATGAATAGTTATTTTATTTTATTACATGGTCGTATTTTACAGGAAAGATTTGGTCTCATTTCCTACATCAGTATACCGTGCGAAATCGAAATATATATTATATATAACATACTATGACATAAAAATGAATTATAGCCAATATTTAATTACAAATAGATAGATAGATAGATAATTTATTTGCATCACTTATAGCACACAAACAGCAAAAGTTACAAAAGCAAAGTGAAAAAAGATCAAAAAGATACATGTACAAAAGATTAAAAAAAAGAAACCAAAAACAAAATCAGAATGCATAAAATTAATAAAATGTTTTTTTTCTTCATGCGTGTGCCACAGTAATACAAAATGGCCACAACTCAGCTTTTTGCTTTGCCCTAAAAAGAGCAAAACACTGATATTCTGTTGTGGCCAAATATTCTAAAATAAAAGCACATGAGTATATAACCACGGCCTCCGGAGCCACTGCATTTTCTGACCAAAGTCCTTTTCACAACTGCAGTGTCCCTCTTTCGATTTTCTGTCTGTAGGGAAAGTATGGTATATATGTAATGTAGGTAATATGAACACACATAATTTATGTTATTTTGGAATTACTATTCTATTACGTTGCAATATTAATTATGTACATTTTCTATTATTTCTGTCTACGGTTGACTGGTAGGTAACGCCATATGATACTAAATCCGCCATTTACACTTTATAGGTGTATAAAAGTTTAATAAATAAATAAATTATATACTTAATAGAAATATTCAATTTGTTGTAACTCAGTATAATACTCGTATACACGAGTAAATAGAATTATCGTAAGACAGTTATGTAACTTATGTAAGTGAAAGAATTTTAAAAGTGGTCGAAGTAGTTTTACCGGCTGTCTTCAAAAAAGGAGAAGGCTTTCGATTCAAACTTTTTGCTCATGTACACTACGTATATAGAAAAAAAAAACGGTTTGTTGGTTATCCGATACTTCGGTAATGGTTGATTTTTTTTAATTAAATAGTTATTATCCTGTAATAGTTGTTCAATTACTGTCCAATTATAATATACATATTAGAAATATTGGAGAATAAATATTTCATTATTAATTGATTTATTTCTTAGATTTAATGTGAGATTCTTTGTAATATATTTGATATTTTTTTATGCAACTTAGAATGGCAAACAAGCTGACGGCCCAACTAATGTAAAGTGGTAACCGTCAGCTATAGACATAAGCAGTACTGTTGACATAACAGAGTATACTGTTTCGCCCATGATACCTCCCGTGCGTTGCCATTCCTGAGGACTCAGGTGTTATACCTCTGTACCCTGTAAATTCACTGCCATATCCCACCCTTCAAACCGGAACACAGCTATGCAAACATAACTGCTTCACGGTAGACACACCAATGGGACAGAGGTACCCAAGCAAACGACTTTCGTACAAAGTCTCCCTCTACCAGATAATATTAATTTTAAAAATATAATCAATATAAAAAATGTACAAAAGTTCAACAATATCACTATTTTTAATACCGTTTAAGTTCTTTAATTTATTATTGTTAAAGAAATCTATTACTTGTAATTTCGATTGATGTAAATCATCACCATCATTATAAATAGCACATTACAGTCCAGAATACACAGAGTAGTACACAATATCCTAAATTATATAGTAATCCTAAGGTATGTACCTGAATGCGATCTTAATTATTAAATTAAATACTGTAACTACAATACAACTGTTAGAATAATTTTCAACAAATACGCGGTAGTGTATTTTTTATTGGTGTAAGTATTAGCCTAATTTAAAGGTAATAGTTATTAACTATATATATATATATATATATATATATATATATATATATATATATATATATATATATATATATATATATATATATATATAACGTGATAAAAAGCAGGTGTTAACGGTGTTTATAATCATTACATAGATAGTTACTACGTTACTGTTCTCATTGGCTCTCTTTGATTTTTTTAATCTATTAACAGTCCGTAACTATGTTTTTTTATTTATTTATGAAACCCTAATAAAGTTAAAACATTTACAAAGTTACGTAGATTAATTATTTATGAAGTTACGTAGGTTAAATTCTCAGAAAAAGGTCATTAGTTCAACATTCAAGACTAGTTTTTGAGACAGCGCTCTCTGTTAAGGTTAGTGTGTTTATTATCAAATTTCGTTTGTATTTTAAGCATTATGCTTTTTTTTTTAATATAGAACTCGGAATGACAAATAAGTGAACGGCTCATTTGATGGAAAGTGTTATCCGATACCTATATATATTAACAGAATTTCTAAATCCATGATATCCCTAACTAATTACTATTTCTCATGACTAAGATGTTGTTTCTCTGTACTGAATTCAACAATTTCACTGTCATATCTCACTTCCTATTACAGCTATTCAAGTACAGATGCTTGGTATCAAGAACACGAACAGGACTGAGGCATCCATATAGATGAATTTTGTACAAAATTTTCCTTCGTTAAAACAATTTTCTAATTAACACATATTGCTTCTTTACAAAAAAGAAAACAGAATAAAATATCTTTTTTGTTTAATAATGTTTAAATTTTAAATTTAAGCATTTTTAAATAGTCTTTTATAAATTAACTACAACCCATTCGGAATGCAATTTCAGCTAAAAAAATTACAAGAAACTTAACTGATGCTTTCGAAATAGTTTAATTATATAAATTATGGATTTGTATGAAAATAAACTACAAAACAGTACCAGATCATTTAAATTAATATATTAAATACCTAAATAATTGTAATTTGTTGTAACGAACAAATCAATAAAATAAATCGATTGACAATTAATCAATAATAATAATTGAACATATTCTCCTCCCTATCAATCGTAATCGATTGATAGGGAGGAGAATATTATTCCAACTTCTTACTTTAACTTCATGTTATAATTTATTTTAAATTTTATTTAATACTCGTACAATTGTAGTTTATGCTTTAGTTACTTCTTAAGAAATTCTGTTGCTGAAAAGTGGTAACACATTATATTCTTACTTTATTATTTTTTTTTATTATTTATACTAAAATAATAACAAGCTTTTTCAAATAATTTATTAATCTAATTTCTTGACAGTTCTTCTATACAGACAATAGAGCAAATCTTCGTTAGTGTTGTGAGGTAAACAAGTATTTCTAGTTTTTTTTTTCTATTATTTCATTATTATATAGCTAGGCTAGCAATTGTGTAAGATAGAAGCAGTTGAGGGAAGAATTTGCCCAGCAGTGAGGTACCATCAGTTATAACTGATTGATTATTAATATTTACTATTTTGTTATTATTTTTTATTTTATTGGATAAATCCTTATATAGGTCAATTACCTAACTTGTATAACGGTTAGGTTTTTAACTCTCGAAATAGAAAGAAAATTAACAGGCACATAACCACAACAATGTTTAAGATTTTTTTTCAACTGTGTTAAAATTAAGATTTATTGAAAATACCTTTTTTTTATCAATTAACCTATATTCTATTCTGTCTTGTGAAATAAGGATCTCTAGTTTAAAATTATTTGTGTGAAGGTGGCGCCCTCTAATGGCAAGTCTTAGAATTACTATTATATTTATTACACAAGAATATAAAAATAATGTAAAAATGTTACTTTTATGCATACATGTACATATATATAATAGACAGGAATAATAATAAAAATGTTTGTATCCAAATTTTTGTTTGTAATTCAAATGGAAATTTTTAAAACATCTCTGTCTCGCTTAAAAATTTTATATTCAGTTGTAATTTAGCGAAATATAATTAACGATTATGTCACACAGAAAAAAAATACCACTACTAAACCGATTTTGATGAAATTTCTATAGGACCAATCTGTAAATATATCCTTTCAAACAAAACAAAGAATTTTCTAAATTTCTTTAGAACTGACAGAGTTATGAGTAAAAAACAATATTATAAACAATATTATTTATTATAAGTAACATAAAAAAAAATTACAGTATTAAGAATGTCATTCTTTTTTAATTCGGTTGAAAAATATTTAAAAACTTATAGAATTTTATCAATTTAAGCAAATAGTTTTAGTAACAAAATCATCTTTTTTATTTATTAATATTATTTATACGTTTTTCGTAAAGGGATTCTTACTGAAGGCAATTATTTTTTATTTTCATGCCACATAATATATTTAATTACTAAAACATTTTTAAAATGTAATTAAAAAAGTTTATAGTATTCGAAAAAAGAAGTATGTAGAGAATTTGTCCTACAATTAAACCATTTGTTATTAAATATCGCTTAATAACAAAATGTAATGTTTAAAATTTTTGAGACTGTTCTATAAAATGTATTAATTTTTCCTTAAGATCCAATATTTTAATCTATTTAATTTTAAAAGTATTGACGCTAACTTACATTAATTTACTTTCACATCCTGTTTGTACTTTAAATACGTAATACTTTTTTTTACATATGTCATAACAGATATCTAAATTTTAAATCCGATCTAAAATGGAAGATATTTTAAAATCCATATAATTTATTTTACGCTTCTTTATAATATCTTGAAATAAAATAAGATTAATAAATTACGTAAATATTTTACGTAATATTAGTTTACATAATTTTCTTTTAAGTTTATATTTATTTTACATCGCAATTTATTATTTTTAGATTACCTAAATATATAATAAGTATAAAATATGTGATATAATTAATACAAAATGCCTAATAATAACTTTTACCTACCGCACATGGTACTAAAGCTGACCCTTCAAACACGTAATACTAAATCATACTTATTTACATAAACTTTAAGGTCCAATCTGAATCAAATATCGTAATAACCCAGATGAGAGCCCCGTATGGCGTAGAATATAGACGGCAGGTGGGGGGGAAATGATAAAACTGTATGGCAGACTCACCACCTCGCCAAACTAAGCTTGACATCAGAGTCTCTCGATGTCATATAATTAAAATCCGGCCAGTGAAAGAAAAAATAGTAAAAAAAAATGAAATTGACCATAGTATTCGTAATCGCCCTTGCGGCTTTCGCCAAATCCGAGGACAGTGACAACACCATGGATATAGCCATAAGCTTTGTCAAGGATTGCAAAGGAGACTACTTTTTATGTGTTAAGGTTCATAATTTAATTATTTTAGTGAAAGTGCATCAGTGAACGTGTTTAGTGTTTGTGTTGAATCAAGTTCCTTTCCCGTGGACGCTCATTTCACTATAGTTTCCGTTATAATTGCAATTTAAAATAATCGTTAGCTTAGTTTAAAAGTTTTCGCTTTTTTCCACATTTGGAGTAATATTAAGAATTAATAAAGAATTTTGTCTCACAGGAAAAGTTACTACGAATCGTCGACAATCTAAGGGCGTCACGGAGCATAACGATTGCCGAGGGCATTGTCCTTAAAGGCGACCCCGAAAAGAAGACCGGGAAGAAATTAGACGCTCTGCCAGTCGACCCCACAGCCAGAGATGCCGAGGTCAACTATAGGCTTATGGATGGAGTAGTCAGCTTATTCGAAACTCACGCTGTTGAGGTTAAAATGAATGAGGCCGACAAAGAGACTCTGCAGAGGTCTCTTGAAGAAGGTGAGATATAAATAATTGTGTGGTTGTAATTTTTATAAGATTTATTATAAATGTGACGGGAATGTGTTCATTACCTTTCCATTACTAGACATAAGTTTCTCTCCGTAATGAAAGAATAATAATAGCCCATAATTACCAATATGGCTATGGGGCTTTATTTCCATTTGAGACATTTCTATTATTTCACTTATAGTTTTTCTTTCCTTTTACCTTTGTTCTCTTAATCGCTGTTAGAACATTTTGAGGATGAAAAAGAATTATGACACATTTTTTTAATATATTATTTAATAATATTCTATTTAGATTTCCAAAGAAATGTACATTTGACCTGTAAGTTTTAACTATCACAAGATAACTTGGCACGTAACGACAAATGTAAAAATTGCCATATCTAAAAACTAATTAAAAATTCAAGTTTTATGTACAATTACGACTCTGATCTATCTTTGTATTTTCCAGGCCGTGGTAAGAAGAAAGGCGGTGGTCTAGGTGCCATCATCGGTCTACTCGGAGCCAAGGTTTTACTTGGCAAACTCTTGATCGTCAAGCTCATCGCCCTGAAAGCGTACGCCACAGCGAAGATTGCCCTAGTCCTTGCCGTGATTCTCTTCGTTGCTTGGTGCTTGAAACACGACCACAGCAAAACCACATACGAAGTTATCCCACACGCGCACCACCATGAATCCCACCACCCTGTTCATGTAGAACATGTTTCCCACGATATAGGACACGGGCACGGCGGCGGCGGCTACTCCAGCTACGGCGCAGACTGGAACAAAAACCTAGACGAAGCTCAAGGCCTAGCTTATAGCGCCTACTCTCACAATAAGTAGATAGAAAAATACCAAACAGGACGGCGACGTCCGAAACTTTAACCTCTTTTGTACAAAGACTTATTTATTTTATTTATTATTAATTTATTGCCATTAACTTATTGAATGTTCTTAATAAATTATTGTTTCAATATCCTTATGTTTTATTTCGTAATCACAATATCGAATGCTAGAGAAAAAAAATGAAAGTTCCGAACCGTCAAAGTCAAATATAATGATGCGTTATATCTGATAAATATCATCGATCAGTTTCAACTTGAAAAGAAATTGAAATTGCCCGAGGTGAGGTGTTAGAGAGCACAGAACGAATAGGCGTAATCAAAGCCATATCATGTTTGTTAATGCCACTCCGGAAATATTCCAAACACTTTATTACACTTTCTTTAAAATTTGTTATGTATCCAACAGACTGTGGAATATTCCATCGCATATGAATTAAATTTGCATCTCAATCAGTTATAAAGGCGAACCCTTTTAACACCGGAAACGCAGATTCTTTATCTGTCAATTTCTAACAACCTTTGGCCAGTTTCCTCTCTCTGCAGCATGTTTATTTATGTATGTTCCACATTTTATATCTGTATGAGATTATTAGACATCTTGGAGAGATCTCCACATACCGGACCAGCGGCTAACGAAGTCAGTTTATAAGCAGGTAAACTCTAAAACAGGTTTAAGTAGATATTCATTAAAGGTTCAGTTCAACTTTCTACAGTCGCGTTTCGGTGTAATTTTGTTCAATTTCGTTTTCAATGAATGTGATATAATATGAGACGTTATGAATAGTTTCGCTGTAATTAAACGTACATAAACAAAAACTTTGCTGTCGAATTATGGAGTTGGCCAGTGAATGTTGGTTACGTGTTGATGATATGGACATGAAAGCGGATATAAAATTGAATGATGTAAACCGGAGCAATTTTACAACGATTTTTATATCCGATTGAGATGCCTATAAAACTTTTTAAGCATGCCATTAGTATTGCTATAAGACAACGTTTGTTCAATATGATGTCCACGGCCACTTTCTACCATCGTACGGCTCGCCATCGACAGGGAGTTTACCCTTACATCCTACAGCCTAAATGCATGCGTACAATGCAGTTTCAGAGATGTTTTATCCCACGAACACTCAGGCTATGGAATGAGTTCCCTGCCGAGGTTTTCTCAAGAGACTACAGTATGGAGTTCTCCAAAAAGGGGGTAAAGAGGTTTCTTCAGAGTCAGCAACGCGCGCGTAATAGTCCTAATATTGCAGGCGTTCTTAAGCTACGGTAACCGCTTATCATCAGTTTGGCCGTATGCTTGTTTGCCACCTCAGTGGTATAAAAAAAAAAAGACTTGTGTTTACATAATGCTCTCAAATTGTGTATAAAAACTACGAATTTCTGCAATTACTGCTTTGTAATTGTCGTCTATGATAACTTTATCTTAATTTATGTAATTTTTATTTAACATTTAGTACCTATCACAAAATAAATGTAAAAAATATACACAGCACTTGTTATGTCGTGAAAGGGAATTAACATATTGTTGTTACATTACTACAGTATGTCTTTATAGAATCGAAACATCAATAGAACAATGAGGATTGTTGTTCTCGATAATAAAAAGTACAAGATTACTTATGAGAGGTACATATTAAGAGATCAATAATAACAGATTGTCGAAATTAGTATGACATGACTTTAACTAGTATATTATTAGCTATATAAAAACATCTTAATTTCTTTTTAAAGCGGTGAATCATATTAGAGTATAGGCCTGTGCCATTAAATAAATTGGTGAACAGATATGAGTAGCCTTAGGATATAGATGGCTTTATTCTTTAAAAAAATAGACAAATGAAAAGAACATTCCTTTATTTATTTTATATATTTTCAGCATCCTTGTGTCTAAATTTGTTGGTTTTTTATGAAATAGCTAATTAGTATATATATATATATATATATATATATATATATATATATATATATATATATATATATATATATATAAAACATATGTACTATATTTATATATTTTAATATTGTTCTTCGTGCCTCCCACCAAATTGTTTATATTTACTCCTCTCCATCCAAAGGTTGCCTGGAAGAGCTCGCTTTTAGCGATAAGGTCACCCATTGTTTTCTCATTGTGATTATTTCTTGTAATTGTTTATATTTATAATAAGTTTACTACTGTAATCTTTTGAAGGAAACAATAAAGAGTATCTATCTATCTATACTATAATATAAAGCAAATATATTTTATATTTGATGTATATTAAAACCCAGTTAAATTAATTATGATAGTCCAAATGTCATAAGATATATACACAGTATGAAACAATAGGTTATTGTTTATAAAATATAGTTTAATAATCTAATAGTTTTATTTAAAAAAATATTGTATTTTTGTTAAATTAACTTATTGATTATGTTCAATATAAATAATGTTTTGATTAAGATTAAAGTGCCTAAGTATTAAGTTATTTGAGGGAGTCAGCTCCCTTCTTTTTTTTTGTATATTCAGATATACAAAAAAAAAGGAAGTATAAAATCAAAGAGAATGATAAAAATGAACATAGTCTATTGTCAGTCAGGTAGACGTTCTGCTTATTTGCTATTTCAAATTGTATAATAAAACTTCGTCGATCACAAATGCTGGAGTAAAAGGTGATTACAATAACGCACTGAGACTACTCCCGTTAAAGTCATATTTTTGTCTAAATCACGGTATATCTTAAAATTTGACTGGTAGAGAATTCCTATAGCATTCAGTCCACCCTTGTACCACATTTTATTGGTAAATAAAGTTTAAATAAATATATATGTATTATTATCTCGATAATTTGACTTAATTTACTTTATCTTTTTATTTATTGGTTTTCAATATTATATCTTAATGTATTAAAATCCCGTATCACGATGTATGCTTAACCTATTTTAAGAAAATTTTGTAAATATTCCATACTAGCTTTTACCAGCGACTTCATATGCGTGACCAAAGGGCCTACCATGAAATATTTTCAGAAATTTCGGGCACGAACGAAACAGAAATTTGATGTTAAAATTATATAATACATGTCATTTAAAATTATTAAAAATGTTAAAATATCATTACTCTGGACTATTAGAATAGGATTTATGGTGAACGAAATGTTAAGCTTCATTTACTGGGTCGATTTTGGTACGAACAAAAATACGAAATTGATGCGGAAAATTTCGAATTTCGTTTTATGGTAGACCACCTGATTATACTGATCGGAGTAAAAAGTAGTCTATATCCTTCTCCATTCTATATAGTACATGTATACCAAATTTTATAGTGACTGGTTAAGCCGTTAAGGCGCCATAAGGTAACAAACAAACACACTTTCACATTTATAAGTACAAGTACATTTAAGTTGAAACAGTATTACTGTTTAAACTTAAATGGAAGGATAGTTTTTTTCTTAATAAGAAAATGTAGTCGCCATAAGTGGCAGTACGTACAACCAGATTTGTTTTTAATAGATGGTAATCCCACCTGTGCTAATGGAATGGAGCACCAGAGAGGGATGATAGGTGAGAATGAAAAGGCAGGTCAGATAGCCTATCGCGAAAAATACACCTGGAACTTAGCACGACGGTTTCCAGGGCGGACTATGTGGAAATAAACCTGACAGGGTGTATTGCTAGCAATACTACCCTCCCCCCCCGTAAAACAAGGTTTTCTGTGTCAGCTAATACAATAATCGTATAAGTGATCATAAATTTTCTTATTTCTTTTTACTCCTATAATCTAACTACATATTTCTCACAATTCTGTTATAAAGTTGTTCCGATTCACAACAAATCTAGGCACAGTTCTCATATTGAAATACGTCTTCCATGTTGATTATCTAGACAAACAATAAATTGTCCATGTTTAATGATCATTACTGCTATGGTATTTTTATTTTATTTCTGTCTGTTTGATAGGGGTATATATATCAATAAAAAATAAATTGTGTTCCACAAAAAAAATTCTTTATATATTTTAAATCCAGTTATTTTATTTTAAAAACAACTAAATCGATTTTGATAAAATGTCTATAAAACTAAGCTGTAAGTATATTCTTACAGATAAAATAAGAATTTTACATATCGGTTTACAACTGACGGAGTTATGAGGTAAAAATATAAAAACGTACAACAAAATAGAGAACCTTTTTTTGAAGTCGGTTAAAAAGGCGAAGGTAAAAAGGAGAGAATTTTATTTTAGAATGAATAGAGTACACGATCAATCGAAATAATCGAATCTGATATATGCAAAAAGTCGAATATATTACTTTTGTATTTTTCTAAAAAAGGTTAAATTGTAAATGATCAAAAATACAATCTAAGCTAATACTTATATGTTTTAAACACAAAAATGTATTTTTCTTCCTTGAAATGAACAACCTCAAAAAAATTTAAACTGATTTTAAAAATTTCTTCACCTACATAAAGTTACATTGTCAGCAATTGACATGGGTTGTATATTATTTACAAAAAAAAAAAAAACCGTGCAAAACCAAGTTGGGATGCTACTAATTCATATTAAACATGTAATATTCAACATGTAATAGCAATAAATGATTGAATTGAATTGAATTGAATTGAATATATTTAAATTCAGCCTAAATTAATATATCCAATAAAATCCCTGTAATCCCATTAACACTTAACAACTATTATGTCTACATCCTAATGTTGTTTGCACAGCAGTCTACACTTCTTCTCAATGACTGTTGAGTGACCAAGTGAAATCTAAATGGATTATGAATCAATATTTATTCTGTTTCCAGTGTCAATGATATTTTATACTTTAATTTTTTCTAAACAAATTAATGACAAACAAGCAGACGGCCTACCTGTTGGAAAGCGGTAACCGTCGCCTATACCTATACATGAACAGTACCATGGACATAACAGTGTCAGGTGTTATTCATCAGTGTCCTGTAATTTTAGTGCTATCTCCCACCTTTAAAATCGAAACAGTCATGTAAACACAACTGCTTCATGGCAGACACGTATTGGACAGAGATATCAAAGCAAACGACTTTTGTACAAAGTTGTACCAGAGGGAGACTTTGTACAAAAGTCGATTGCTTGGGTACCTCTGTCCCATTCGTGTTTCAACCGTG